TTTAAGACTAGAGTGTAAGTAAGTAGCTTTGAAAGAGAATATATGTTAAAAATTATGAACAGTAAATATTTTGTTGGGTATATGCTTGAGGGCAGCAATAATTATACTGTTGTGAATTTTGTGCCAAGTAGTTTCAAGAGATTCTGTAGTATCAGTTGAGGAAGATGTATGGTTGGAGTGGAGGTTGGTATTGACTTGGTTAAAATATTCTTCTCATAGTATGGTGTTTATAGCTTTATAGTTGAAGATTCTTCGATGTGTGCGTGTTTTATATCTACATTGGCCATGTAGAGCATAAGGGAAGGACTAGCAAGAAATAAGAATTTTGTGATCACTAAGTGAGCTATTGTCAGTATCATCTGTATTAAAAGAGGTAAGGTAAGTTAAGATCATATAATATAGTATGCCTAGATAAAATCAATTTCACTACTATATCTGGAGCTGTACCATGTAGGAGAAGAGAAGTTGGTATGTGTAGCCAGGTTGTACATGTTGTTGTAGGTAAGAAATTGAAGAAGTTTGTATTTGATGGAGAATAAGTGGGTATTGTTAGTAGAGGCATTAAATTTTTCAAGAATAATAGAAAGTAAATTGAGAGTATAAGTCTTTTGAAGCTATTAAATAATTGTGTTTTGGATTTGAAGTCAAGTAGAAGAGTTGTCACTAGGAAGGTAAATTGAGATGATACAGAATTTAAAGTTATGTTTAAAGAACAAGTCAATTAAGATAGCATATCCAGAAATGTAAGAAATATTGTGAATGTAGAGGGTTAAGGAGTTGTGTATCATGATAGCAGTTTCTGCTTTGAAGCTGTTAATACAGGACCAAAAGTAGGTATAATGTTGTGTTTTGAGAGGTTTTGAAGTAAAATTACTGCTAGCTAGTTTTGTTTTAGAGAGGCAAATAATATTCAGATTGTTGGATAGGCAGCAGTATTCTCAGATCTGTTGCTTGAGGTTTTGGTTAAAATCTCGAATATTGTGTATGCATATTGAAAGATTGAGAGGACTAGGAGAGGTAAGATGTTGAGTTTGAGACTTTAGTAAAATATGAGGGTTTGCAAAAATTGCACTTTGATAAGATACGATTTCATGGTTGGAGAGTGGGCAGGGTTCGTGTGGTGCTAAATATATGCTTCACTATAGTCAGATTTGATTGAAATTATAAGTTGATCTTGTAAGTCATTCCAGAGGCTACATTTAATCAGGTAAAGAAGGAATGAGTTAATTGTTTGGAGAGATGAAAGAAGTGATAGATTGAAGTGTTAGAGGAATTTGTTAAAACAGGTTGAAGGGTTACAGGGGTTTGAAGAAATTAGAAGTGACATCTTTGAGTTGTCTTTTACAAGGGTGCTCACTATATACCTGGCTCTCATGGTTCCGCAAGAAGTAGCAGTACTCAGATTATGCGTTAGAGAACTGTGTTTATCTACTTTTTCTAGGTAATCAAAAATAATTATAGTAAAGCACATATTTACTTATCTAGAGAATTTTGTTTTCTATCCAACTATATAAATATACTCTACTTAAAAAGTATTTACCTTCTCTCCTTTATTTTTTTTGAAATTATATACTCAATATACATCTAGTTCCAATACCTTCTATTTTTTTTTTAATTTATTAAAATATATACATAATATTTAAAGCTTTAACTAAAATTTTAAATAAGTTTGAAAATAATACTATTTATTCAAAATTTAAATATTATTTGTCTTACTAAAACCAAACTTGCTAGTAACAATAATCTTACCTTCAGATTTTTTAAAACTTATTACTATACTTATTTTTGATTCTGTATAAATAGCTCTAAAGCTAGAACTGCTATTATTATACAATTCTTTAACTCCTTATATATATAAAATTATCTCTATTCTAGGCTATACTATTTTAATTGATCTATTTTTTAAATACAACTTTAAATTCTGTATTATTAGTTTTGTATACCAATTTTGGACATTTGACCAATCAAATTTAAATATTCTAGTAATCAAATTTAGATATTCTAGCTAGACATTTTAACAATCAAATTCAAACATTCTAACAATCAAATTTAGGCATCTTAGCAATCAAATTCAGATAGCAATATCTTGTGATTTAGTAATCCTAACACATTATTATAGTACTATTCAATTTATTATGCCAAGATGAGTCAAATGGTACCATGATCATGTGATTCAGATTACTAGATCACAAGATATTGCTATCCAAATTTGATTGCTAAAATATACAAATTTGATTGCTAGAATGTCCAAATTTGATTGCTAGAATATTCGAATTTGATTACTAGAATATCTGAATTTGATTGGTCAAATGTTTGAAATTGGTATACAAAACTAATATCTTCATATATTTTTCTAATAATAATATCTTAATTAGACTTCAAACCCAAAATACTATTATTTAATAGCTACAAGATACTAGCACTCTCAATTTACTCCCTATTATACTTGAAGACTTTAATGTCTTAATCCATAATATTTACTTCTCCTTTATTAAGTACAAACTCTTTCAATTTCTCTCTTATAATAATGTGTACAATCTTGCTTCACATACTATCTCATCTTCTTTTACCTGGCACAACTCTAAATATAGTAATAAAATTGACTTTATTTGGACTTACTATACTACTTTAACTTATTTTACTTTTTTTAATATAGATAACACACATAGCAACTCACTCAGTGATTACAAAATTCTTATCTCTTGCTAGTCTTTCTTATATGCACTATATAGCCAATATGGATATAAAACACATTCTTAAAAATAGAATAAATAGCACAAACACAATTTTTTTTTTTTTTATATATTAATCATACCAAAATTCATAATTTAACGAATTCAACTAATTAATGTTGGCACAAGTTTTTATTAGTTGTCCCAGAATTTAAGAGAATAGCTGTAACTATGAAAACCCTAAACTGATACCTAAATCAAAAATTACAGCTGTTTTCATAAATTCAGACATCTAAAAATTTACTCATTTTCAAAAGCTTCTTCAATCTCGTTCTAAGAATCACCTAAATTTCAGAAACTACTTTGCTGTTTCTGTATCGAAGTCCCAAGAATAGTAAAATAGTTTCTGAAAAGTTAAGTAATTTTTAAAACGAAATCGAAGAGGTTTAAATGTTCCGGAATTTATAAAAACAGCTGTAAAACTGAAATTCAGAATTAATCTTAAAACTCTTAACTAACATGGTTTCCTCAAACTTAAACTAATACCGAAATCCAAAACCAATACAAAATTCAAAATTTGATGTCAAAATCCAAAACTAATGCAAATTCAAAACCATCGTTAAAATTCTAATACATATATGACACATGAGTTTACAGGTACAGAGAGACCTCTCTAAATACACCATCTATAAATGCACGCATCTATGTAAAATCTCTTTAAATGCACAGTATATAGTCTGGCCCCATTTTATAATAGCACTATATATTTTGCTATCTATAGATGCACGCCCTCTCTAAGTACACATTTTTGAAATTTTCTATGGCCCTGAGGAGGTGCATTTAAAGAGGTCTCCCTGTATAAAAATTTTGCATTGGCTGATAAGTTTGTAATTTTGACATTGGTTTGGTTAGTTTGGGACTTTGATTAGGGATGTTACGGTCTGGCAAAGACCGCAGTCTGAACCAGTCTTTGGACTGGTTCAAGTGGTTCCCAGTCCATAAATTAATAAGTCGGTCCATAGTAAGGATACCAAATATGTGTGATCGCGAGTATACAACATTTATATTTCAAGTTATGTCATAATTTTTCCTTAACAAAATTGTTTAAACATCTTTAAGAAAAATATATACATTGAAAAACTCAGGAGATAAAGACTCCCCTATGGTCCAATAGGCTCATATTTGATACATGCTTGCCAAAATAAGGGGATGTCTAAAGCGATAAATATAATTAATATATTTATTAAATTAACTTTAAGGTCAGGGTCACCTTATATTAGGGTTAGGTTAGGTTTTAAACAGTTATATATATACAAAATTGCCTTCCCGACATTTTTGTTTAACCCACTCAAGGTAGGTTTAGACTGGTTTAGACTACCATTTTTCATATTTTTTAGGTTTTTCATTTTCTTGTATTGCTTCGCCGGCGATCATCAAAATTCTATAATTTGATTGGCCAATAGTCACATGATTTATCTCCGCTTAAGACGACTCTCAAAACAAGCAACTGAATTCTGATGGTGAAAAGTACAGATTACAATAATATTTTAAATTTATAAGTTAATCGTATTTAAAGGAACAGATGAGATCCTCTTTACAGTATATAACTTATTATACAGTATGTTTTTCTGTAGAGACAGAAGCATGTCTAAATTTTGCGCTCTTATTGTTTTGTAGACCAGTTTATAAATTTTGTTTGGTCAACAATCTGCACCTGGACCTAGTCTTTTGAACCAAGACCAGACCAGAACGGACCATAACACCCTAACTTCGATATTGGCTTAGGATTTTGGCATTGGTTTGAGAATCGGATTTAGTTAGGATTTGAGATTTAGGTAAAAAAAAAAAAAATCCGAAATAGAGTGCAGGTAACGAACTTTGAGTTTCACCACCGATTATTGGTTTCATTAGTTTCACCAGCAACTCTAATTTGAAACTAACTATACTATAGCCTAAAAGTCTAACAATATAAAAAATTATATATTTTATAAAATAATCATACTATATACAGTATTATAAATAATATACACAGTATATATATATATATATATATCGATATATATATATATATATAATATTTTATGGCGTGTCTTTGGCATTCAATCTGGTACATTCCCCGTTGCACGTGCATTGAGGGTAACCTCTATATTTGTATGTGGCGAAAATCGCTCGTCGCACAAAGTAAATTGATATGCAGGTGACGTTTAGCATCAATGAATTTATATTCTTTAAAGTACGTAGATAACGAATTAATAATTCAAATCTAGATTTATATAAATAGCAAGTTTTTTTTTTTTTTTTTTACTAAAAAAAAATTCGAAGTTTTCGATGGCAACGAATATTGATAATAAAGATATATTCGAAAACACTAGCAACAATGATAGTGCATGTTCAATTTCGAATTTTGATAACTCTCAACAACATGAACAACCAGAAGACGCGAAAGTACCAACGTTTGACATTATAACAATTCCTATTGAAGGAATGACTTGCGAATCTTGTGTGAATTCTATAATAAATGCAGTTTCTTTGTTAGGAGTCGTAAAAATAAATGTTAGTTTAGAAAAAAACGAAGCAACAGTGGCTTATGATTTTAATAAAATCACGAAAGTAGATATTATTAAGGCAATAGAAACTTGTGGCTATAAAACACAAACCCCCGTAGAGGCTCAACTTAACAATGTTAACCATGTTACTATTAATCTACCAGTAAAAGGGATGAGCTGTAAATCTTGCGAAAACTCGATCACTTCCGCGCTAAAACTAGCGCACGGTGTTACGGACACTTGCGTAAGCCTTGAAAATAAATGTGCAATAATAAAGTATGACACTTCAGTATTAGATGAAAGTAAAATTGTAAAAATCATTGAAGACTGTGGTTTTGAAGTTGCTGACGGAAATGAAAGTTCTGAAGAGACTGTATCTCTTGCAAGTGCCTCCCGTAACAATAATTCAATTAATGATGCATCTGTTCTCTCATCAATCGGGACCCACGAATTCGAACCTGATCAACTTCGAACATGTCAGCTTCAAGTGCATGGAATGTCCTGTGCTTCATGCGTAAATAGTATTGAAAAAGTAGTTCGGAATGCACCAGGGGTAGAATCCGTTGAAGTTTCTTTACTCGTTGAGCATGCAACCGTGGAATATAATCCAGCTATTATAAACGAAAATGAAATAGTAAACATGATTAATGATATTGGATTTGAGGCATCTCTTATCCAAGAAAGACGTCAAGATGTTGTAGAGCTTCGAATTTACGGAATGGAAACTCCACAAGATTCAGGTATAATTGAAAATGCCTTGAAAGAAATTCGCGGAGTTATTCATGCGTCAGTTGATTTTATAAAAGCAATTGCTGTTGTAAAATTTGATAACGATATTTTGGGAATTAGAGAATTAGTTTTTAAAATTAATGACCTTGGGTATAACGCAGTGTTATACGATAACACAAATAACGCGCAGTTAGAATCATTATCTCGCACCAAAGAAATTATCGAGTGTCGCAAATTGTTTTATTGGTCACTCTTGTTTACCATACCAGTGTTTCTAATTTGCATGGTTATACCCCAGTTTGAATGGGGGTCAAAGTTAGATAATATTCAGCTAATAAAGGGACTTTATTACAGCGATCTTATTGCACTTGTGTTGACTATACCCGTTCAATTTGGAATTGGTAAAAAATTTTACGTTTTATCATTTAAAGCCCTAAAGCATAAATCTGCGACCATGGATGTATTGGTAGTCATTGGGACATCAGCTGCATTTTTTTATTCATGTTTCATCATGTTTGCCACGTTCTTTTACCAAACTGAAAGACAACCCATTTTTTTTGATACATCGACCATGTTGATTACTTTTGTGTTACTCGGAAGATATCTAGAAAACAAGGCTAAAGGTCAAACTTCAACAGCATTATCAAAACTCATGTCACTTACACCTTCTAA